TTTTTAAATTATTAGTTTTAATGCTTTATATAAATGAGACAGCTTTACTTCTTAAACCAGTAGGCTCACAAATGAAATACTAAACTTTTCTTATACTTTCCTTTTTCCAGACTTTATTTATTTCCAGAAAGTATTTGCTTCAAACTTTTAAACAATGCTGTCCTTTGATAGAATACAAAATGTGGCTAAAAATTGGACTTTCTATTACTGCCAAAAAAATCAGAGAAAATTTGTCTTACGAGGTAAGAACGGAGGTATGATCTTCCCTTCTGTCCAAACGGAATTGCATTTAAAAATTGTTAGAAAGTAATTAGGAATTCATATTAAGCCGTATAAACCATTAATAGTCTATGGAACTATGTTTTTATTGTAGGATTGGAACTACAAGATGCAATTGCAACTCTGTAATATTTATGTAAAGGATGTACCAATGACCACCAAAACTGACATTCATGATGAGGCTGTAATCAATGTTATTCTCATACACGGAGCTGTAGAAGACTGTCAGTTACGGAAATTTTATAAGGCACCTTCTTTAATTCCTATTACATGCCATCAGGTAAAGAAATGTTAATTCGTGTTTTCATATCAATATACCATATTTCCAACAAAGTACCACCATTAGAAAAATTATCATGATAATCTTGGACTTATCACCTCCATTCTGCCCTCTTTTCTCCTCCACCTGTTCTGCACTCCTTAATTACTTCAGCAAAGGATAGTCAAACAACAAGCTATATTTATCCAACGTCAATAAAGCAAGCCAAGCTGTATATTTGGGCCACAATTAGATTTGGTGCAGTCATACATTATCAGTAGGATCACTGTCTCTGGATTGCATCATTAATACTGTGTTGTTGTTAGGTGCCATCGAGTAGGTACCGACTCATAGTGACTCTATGCATTACAGAATGAAACACTGCCATCCTGCACCAACCTCACAATTGTTGCTACATTTGAACCCATTGCTGCTGCCACTGTGCCAATCCATCTAGTTGGGGGTCTTCCTCTTTTTCTCTGATAACCTCAAACATGATATCCTTCTCCATGGACTGGTCTTCTCCTGATAATATATGCAAAGTATGAGAGACAAAGTCTGGCCACCCTGGCATCCAAGAAGCATTCTGGCTAAATATCTTCCAAAACAAATTGCTTTGTTTTTTTGGCAGTCCATGTCACATTTAATTGCTTCCTCCAATCCCATAACAGAAATGTATCAATTCTTCTATGGTCTTCCTTATTCACTGTCCAACTTTCACATGCATATGAGGTTATTGAAAATACCATGGCTTCGGTCAGACCCACCTTAGACCTCAAAATGACACCTTTTTCTTCCACACTTTGAAGAGATCTTGTGCAGTAGATTTGCCTAATGGAACACATCATTTGATTGCTTGACTTCTTCCATGATTTTTGATGACTGATCCAAGCAAAACAAAGTCTTTGACAACTTCAATCTTTTCTCTGTTTACATGGGTATGTGGAATGTTAACTTTCACAAAACCAGCATGTCCAGAAATTTATTGATATTTTCAATTTTCTCCCCAATACTACAACAGTAACTTAGCAGAGAAACAGAGTACAATATTTGCTCAAAAATTATTTTGTATTCTGTCAACTTTCAGATACAAGGCATTGAAGATTTCACAAAAATAATGGTTCTTCAAACATCAGTTGATAGGACAAAATACAAATGGAATACTAACCAGAATATACCTTCATGTAAACATGCTATCCACACACAATCATTAGGTGAGTTTTAGTTCTTTGAATGATTCTGAAAATTTCCTTTCCATTTATAAAACAGTCGTATACTTTGTGTTTGTGGGTAGATGCCATCAAGTTGATACCAACTGATAGTGACCATATGCTTCCTCTTTATCTACAACCCACCACTTTACCAAACAAGATACCCTTCACTAGTGATTTGTTCCTCCTAATAATATGTCTGAAGTATGAGAGACCAAGTCTGGCCATCCTGGATTCCAAGGACCACTCTGGCTGTACTTCTTCCAACACAAGGCTGTTTGTTCTTTGTCAGTCCATAGCACTTTCAGTATTTTTCTCCAACACCATAACTCCAATGCATCAATTCTTCTATGCTCTTCCTTATTTACTGACCAAATTCTGCATGCATATGAGGTTATCAAAAACACCATGTCTTGGGTCAAATGCACCTTAGTTTTCAAACTGGCATCTTGCCTCTTCAATACTTCCTTCATCAAGCCATATTTTCCAACTACTGATCCTTCCTCTTTGTTTCCAACCTTTGCACTCCAATAGCCAGTAACAGACCCTCGTGCAGCAGATTTGCCTAATGCAATACATCGTTTGATTTCTTGATTGCTACTTCCATGAGTATTGATGGTTGACCTGAGAAAAAATTAAGTCTTTGATAACTTCAATCTTTTCTCCATTAATATGGATATTGCTTATTGGTCCAGTGGTGAGGATTTTTATTTTCTTTACATTGAGATGCAAACCATACCAAAGGCTGTGGTCTTTGATCTTCATCAGTAACTATTTTAGGTGTTCTTCACTTTTGGCAAGCAAAGTTCTATCATCTGCATATCACAGGTTGTTAATTAGTCTTCCTCCACTCCTGATAGCACTCTTCATATAAACCAGCTTTCAGATTAGTTGCTCAGCAACAGATTCAATAAATATGGTGAAAGAATACAACCCTGGCACACACCTTTGCTCCTTTTAAACCATTCAGTGTTCCCTTGTTTTGTCCCAACAACTGCCTCTTGGTCTATGTACAGGCTCCTCATGAGCAAATTAAGTGTTCAGGAATACTCATTCTCCACAATGTTGTCGATTGCTTGTCATGATACACACAATTGAAATCCTTTGCAAAGTTAATAAAGCACAGGTAAACATCTTTCTGGTATTCTCTGCTTTCAGCCAAGATCCATCTGACATCAGCAATGAGACCCCTCATTCCACATTCTCTTCTGAATTCAGCTTGAACCCCTGGACCTTTTCTCTCAAATATGTGGTTAAAAGCGTTTTCGTATTACTTTTAGTAAAACTTCACACACACAGGAATTCAATGGTATTGTCCAGTGATTTCAGCATTCCATTGGGTCACTCCTCTTTGGAATGGACCCAAATATGGATCTCTTCCAGCAGGTAGTTGTCTTCCACAATTCTTGACATAGATGAGTGTGTGCCTCAAGTGCTGCATGAGTTGGCTGAAAGATTTCAACTTGTATGCCATCAATTCCCATGTCTTCAATGCCAATGTCTTCAATGAACCTTGGACTTCTTTCTTCAGGATTATTGGCTCTTGATCATATGCTACCTCTTAAAATGGTTGAACATAGACAATTTCTTTTTGATACCGTGACTGCATATTCCTCCCATCTTCTTTTGATGCTTTCTGCATCATTCAATATTTTACCCATAGAATCCTTAAATATTTCAAGTCAAAGCTTCTTTTTTTTTCTCTTCAATTCCCTCAGCTTGAGAAATGGTGAGCATGTTCTTCCCTTTTGGTTTTCTAACTCCAGGTCTTTGCACATTTCATTATAATATTTAGCTTTGGCTTCTCAAGGTGACATTTGAAATTTTCTGTTCCACTCTTTTACTTCCTCATTTATTCTACTTGCTTTAGCATCTCTATACTGAAGAGCAACTTTCAGAGTCTCGTCTGACATCCATTTCAGTCGTTTCCTTCTTTCTGATCTTCTTCATGACCTTTTACTTTCTTCCTGTATGATGTTCTTGGTGTCATCCCACAACTCATCTGTGTCTGATGTCTAATTTATCAAATCTGTTCTTCAGATGATCTCTAAATTCATGTGGATAATATGCACGGTCATATTTTGGTACTCATGGACTTGTTTTCATTTTCTTAAACTTCAACCTAAATTTACAAATGAGCAATTGATGGTCTATTCCACAGTCTGCTCCTGGCCTTGTTTTGTCTGATACAGAGTTTTTTCACTGGCTCTTTCCACAGATGTAGTCAATTTGGTATTCCATCTAGTGAGGTCCATGTGTATAGTTGTCTTTTATGTTGTTTAAAGTAGGCATTTGCAATGAAGAAGTCTTTGGTCTTGCAAAATTCTATCATGTGATCTCCAGCATTGTTTATTTCACCAAGGACATATATTCCAACTACAGATCTTTTCTCTTTGTTTTAAACCTTTGTACTTCAATTGCCAGTAATTATCAATACATCTTAATTTCTTGTTTGATGAATTTCAAACTGAAGAAGTTGGTGAGTTGAATTTGATTATCACTGGCTTTAGTGGTTGGTGCATAAATTTGAATAACACTGATATTAACTGGTCTTCCTTGTACTTCATGACTGATCTTGATATATCCTTTATGATGCTGAAAGTGACACCATTCCTCTTTAATTTGTCATTCCTGGCATAGTAGACCATGTGATTGTCAGATTCAAAATGGCCAATATCAGTCCAGTTCTGCTCACTAATGCTTAGGATATCAGTGTTTATATGTTCCATTTCATTTTTGACAATTTCCAATATTCCTAGATTCATATTTTGTACATTCTATGTTCCAATTATGGATGTTTACAGCTATTTCTGGAGTCATGGTATGGCACTACATATTAATGAGATGAACCACAAGGTCAGTTTGAACATAAGTTTGGAGGTTCAAGAGCACCAGCTATTCCTCAGAAACCCTATACAGGATCACTATGAGTCTAATTCAACTCAACAGCATTTAATAACAACAACAGTAGTTGTTTCTCTTCATTTGGGGTTGTGCCCATCAGCAAATGAAGGTCCTGAGTGTTTGATTTCATTTGTGTCGTCACAGTCAACTCTACTTTGAGGAGACAACAACTGTACTTTGAGTGCCTTCCAACTTGAGGATTCATCTTTGGGCACTATATCTGACAATATCCTGGTGTTCTTCGTTATGTTTCAATATTCAATAATTTGGTGCTGACAGTGTTTCACAGCTATTCATAAGGCTACCAGGGACTAAATATTCAGAAGTAGTCTGCCTCTCCTTCTTCCTAGTCTGTGTGCATCTGGAAGCTCAGCGGAAACCTGTCCATCAGGGATGATGACCCTGCTGGTATTAAAATACCCATTGCATAACTCCCAGAATCACAGCAACACATAAGCCTCCACAGTATAACAAACTGGCAGATGAGTAGTGCACTCATATACTAAAGAATCCTTTTAACTGCCATATTTGTTATTTAATCTGAGCCACATCTAGAACCTTCTGAAATGGAACATGCCCAATTGAAAGGACATGCAGACCAGCCTGGAGTGGGTAGAGGAACAAAAGACACTTTTTTTTTTTTTTTT